GCAGCGATATCCGCGGGCTATTAGTACGCATCCCGAAACATTTTCCTAATATCTCTAGATGCGAATGTAAATGATTTATCACCTGTGCCGTAGAATTATCCGCGCGTAAATGGATCAGGTGCCGGGCGCGGCTCTTTTTCCTTGTCTACCATCGCGCGGTCAATTAATAGGAGTCATTTATAAGAGCAAACCGGGGAATCTGGGAATCCGCGATCCGTCCGGAGGCAATAAATCTCAAGTCGCCGAGAGCGGCATGGTAGCGGAACCCCTCTTGTAAGCTGGTTGTATTGTAGCTATTACCGAGCCATGCATCACTAGGTAACAACCGCACGATTCGTCGTCTCCCTCGTTCCAACGCGGGCTTTCTCTGTCTCTCTCAGCATTTCGTGACCACGGGAAAGAGCGCCAGGACACCGTGTAGGAAAGCGCAGGAAAACGCGTGGTGCGTTTGGGAAGCTGCGCAGCTGATATCGGACCACCCAGGTTATTCCCTTGGATACCTTCTGGCCGTGGAACGCTCTCCGCGGCGTTAAGGGAAAACGTTACACCCGATTCACGCATGACCGCGAACAATGTTATGGCACGAGTGATGAACGATCGCCGTCGTTAATGAGCGAATCGTGTCTCGCGTCGATATTTTATGTTTCGGTGCTTGTAGCAGAAAAGCTGGGTCAAAGCGCTGATTTGTAATTTCGACGACCTGCTTTCGCGAATTACGCGACAACGCGACGCTCGCAGCTAATAAAAAGAAAGACATTTTATAATCACGAAATAAATGCGTCTCAAGACTGCTTTATATCTCCCGTGTTTTAAGACTTTGTGAAAATATTAAACGTCAAATTTGATAAGACGCAAAGTTACGAGTACGAGTATTGAAACGAGGAAAGTACTGCTCCGGTAATATCGCGGTGATATCTCATGCTTAGAAAAGCATACTGCTCTAAATCGCCCGCCGGTCCAGACAACACTACAACGGACGGTGAGAAAATAGTGGACGATACTTTGTACACGCGAGACAGAAGGTCGCGAGGAGGAGAAGAAGAGCGGAACGGGGAGGAAAGGAATGAGCGAAGAAGAAGATGATGATGAAGAAGAGGGAGTCGGAATATACGGCGCGACGAGCCGCGCCGTGGTACAGCACAGTCTCTCTCGCCGGACAACCGACAGTTAGAAGAACGGGGTGGCTGTCGAGGAGGGTAGTACCTGCCTACTACTCGCACCCTCGCCGGGCGCTATAGTAACAACACGGGGAAACATAGGGAAATCAATATGGCTTCCGTTGCCCTCATCCCTCTCGCGCGCGGCCCTCGCAGCCGCTGTCTCTCGCTCTCGTCCAATTCTCTCGCTCCTCTCTCGCTACCACGGAATTACATCTCTCCCTCAGTCTCCCTCGCTTCATCCATCTCTGTTTATCTTTCCATTCTCCCTCTCCCTCTCCCTCTCTCTCTCTCTCTGCCTCTCTCTCTCTCTCTTTCTCTCTCACCTTCTAGCTTTCTCTCTTTCTCTCTGGCACTCGACGCGGACGGGTGAACCCATTATAAGGGGGTGTTACTCCGGGCCAATCCCCAACCATCCGGAGAGAGAAACCAGAGAGGCAAGAGTCCAAGAAGGGCGCATGTGCGTTGCTAGGGCCACCGGATGGGTCGCGCGATGCGATGCGATGCGATGCGATGCGATGCAATGCGACGCGATGTGATGCCGCGCGTAACGTCCGCCCGGTATATGTACCAGATACTTGACAACGCAGAAATATCTGACAACGCACCCAAGAAACAAGTACGGCGTATAATTTGCACTCTGTAGCTGGTACGATAAAACGATGAATTTCCAACAGAACATCTTCCAGATATATTTCTTTAAGTAATTGAATAAATAACCATTGCATCTTTTCATATTTCTTTAATATCCTCATCAAAATCACGATTATGAATTCATTCTTTTTATAGAACTTACAATTAGGTATCTCTATCTTATAATTAAATTATTAAGAAATCTTGAAAAATTATGCGACATGAATTTTGAGATTATAAAATATATATAAAATGTAACTGATAAAGTATTAAATAAACTATAGCATCATTACCACAGATTATTAATTTAAGTTCCTCTCATTTAAATAACATATGACATAAGATATGAGATAAATACAAAAATTATTATTGCGCGCGAGTGCGTGTGTGTGTAATTTGTAATAGATATTTGCATTCGTTGATAAGTTTCAAGACTTCAATCCCTATCAATCTTTTTATGAAAAGGCCTTGAACCCTTTCGGAAGGGTTTAATGTATCAAGGAGGGCTCTCTGGTGGCATACCACGACATTGCTTATCAGAACTCGTACGTCGGTAACATAGAATTCTAGCGTAGAGAAGGTGCGTATTTCAGAAGCTGCGTATACCACAAACTCTATGATAATGTCTATGACTCTATGAAATTGCGAAAAAAGTAAGTTCACAAGCTATACATATATTTTATTACGTGTGTAAGTATCACGGTGTGTTGAAAATTTACGTCATATGGATGTATGTTCTACCTTTTTTAAAATGTCAAGCTGTTTTCATGCAAATCAATTAAAATATCAAATAAAAAAAGATTTTTATTTTGTATTTCGGTGCAAAATGATAGTCCACGGTGCTACTACAGTTTGCGAGAAATCTCTGATTTCAAGCAGTCCATCCTCATTCCCTCCCAACCAAACCAGGTTCGCATAGAATCCTGAACACTCGGCCAAGTGAGGAATTGCGTTCAAGAATCGTATGGAAGACTTAGGAATTTAGTCAAATTTATATTTAGTTATATATAGCCAATCGCCTCTATCCATATCATGTACAATTCACAGTCAGATGGTGAATACATGTCTCTTCAGTCGGCGCGGAATATCATTCGAAATGGGCCCATTGATTTCCGAACAACATCCTTCGCCGCTTACTTTCCAACACTTTTTCATGTGTTGAAATCCAATCACCATTGACTTCACTCAGCAACATCACGGGTGGTGAATCCTAGTAACACTCGCTCCACTCTATTTCAAGAATTATCTTCGGGGGTACTCCGGCTCGGGAAGGTAACAGACAGGTTCTGTTGTAGGAAAGTTTTCACATATCTTGAAAGTCCTTAATCGTGAGTGTGTTTCCTTTCCCCGTTTTACGTTCTCAACCCCCCTTTTTCCATGCAACGTCACAAACGAGATATAATATTGGATGAATTTTGCTCCCTCCTCTTCCAGAGGGAGGGCAATCTAATAAATAGATGAACCAACGTGTGATTTCAGCTTTAAATCATCGTGAGTCTTCTTTCTTCCTGAGAGCCTCTTCGGGGATTTTCGCGACTATTTTATTTCCCCTCTTCGACTCTATATACATATATATAATACGCATACGTAGGCGTACGTCCTTTAATTGGTATAATCATAGTCATCTCCTCAATAGCAGCATCACGAAGAAGGAAAGCCCTGTGTCGGAAGAGATTGAGGGCTAGCGCCGTCCTTCAAACGTTTCCCCTCTTTTTGCTTCTCGTTCTTGATGAATCTTGCGGCGATAAATATTCTATGTACATCCGCCACACAATTCACACTCATTCTCCCTTCCTTCGCAGGGACACAACTTTCTTTTCCTCTATCATGTGTAGTAAGCGACTATTTGCCTTTCATCACGAAATTATCGGTGACAGAGAAAGGAGCGCAAACGCAAATACCTAAATGTTCGAACTTAACAATCATCATTAAGGCTATTACTTTCGCAACGATCTCTTGACGTAGTTCTATCGTACTCATTGAACAAGCATCCACAGGAACCTGCGAGAGCACATCTAGCTGGAAGAAAGATGAATGAAAACTTCGCCGCCAATTTTAAGCAACAGATCCGTATTCTATCCGTGATTGTAACAATACAATCCCGTTGCCCGTTGACGATCCCTGAGTAGCGTCAGACCACCTGGCATACATATTTTCGGAAACGCATTATAAAGAACACGACTCTAAGCGAGCGCTAACGAGAAAGCTCCGTCTAGTATACGGAGCACGTTACATCGTACGTATCTTCGCAAACTGCTCCGAGTCCAAAGACGAAGCGAAATGTAACGTCAAAGAGGAGTTTGTATGCAAATTATGCATCAAAATGATAAAATTTTAATAAAAATTAAAAGTTGAAATGACAGACGTTCGACGTGACGATGTCCTAGCGGTATTGCGAGCAAATAAAACTTACAAAAAGAAAGTTTAACATCGAGAGGCCCGTGGTTACCTTCGGTATTTATTTACCCGCTTATGCTGTACGGTAACAAGTATCGATTGAAACCGGATGATAATCTATATCGAAACAGTTATCATCACAAGTTAGTATTATTGCAGACATGCGTAAAGCATTTTATAAATATTATAATAATTATAAGTATAAATGCTTATTATGCGAGGAGAATTAGACACGAGAGAAAATGATCGCAGTCGGCAAAGCAGGCTTCGTTGGTAGATCAAGAAGCCATCGTCCTTGCTGAAGAGAGGAACGTACCATAGACCCGTACAGCAAACTACCTGGTACCAATGGAAAATGGCCTTACCATCCTCGTCGGTAAAGGAGATCTCTCAAGCTATGATAAGATAACGCACCTCCCCCCCTCCCCCAGTCATACAGAAGCGACCTACGGTTGCAGGAGGAAGATAGAGAAGAGCTTGATCTGAGCTTTCGCCGATCTTGTTGTAGATCCCATTTTCGCGATTTTGTATCAAATAGCCTCAAATTCATTCTTCATTTATATATTTCTCCAAGTTAATTAATTTTTAATTAAAATCTCCTAATTTTTCAAAACAAATTATAAACGTGCAACTTGTGAAATAAGTAATAAAAGAATCTTGCAAGAATGATCTATGTGATCGATTCAGATTTATCTGATTTAAAATCCCTCCTTTGTACGAAAAACGTATCTGCCGTATCAGTTTAATTTTTAATATTTATTTAACGTGAAGTACTTTCGCCGATAAAATACGGCACAGCATGACCGAGATTAATGCTCGCCGCTCGCGATTCGAAACATCGGAAGGTCGTGTTTGTCATCACGAGATTCACGAGTGCTCATACGAAAAGACTATGTACAGGTGAACAGTGCGGCAGAGGATATACAAGCAGGACACTTTCAGTTGTCGGTTAACATCGTAACGGCTCGCAACGATTAAAACGGCTCTATTACTTTAATCGTGATCCAGGTAATATCGATACGAAAGTGAAATCTTGTTGCGTAAGAGACAATAAAACATACTCGGTCTAACGCGATGCGCGTATTCACAAAGAAAATTAAGAAACCGTAACAATAACTTGTCGCGAACGGAATATTTTCCCTCGAATATTCATCTGTAAATAACAGCGTGGACCCTAAGATTACATTGTTCTTGCCGATATACAGTTATCTGTGACAGCAAATGCCGCACGCGAGTGCTCTCCACGCGATTTAAACGAAAAGTCTCGGTAAATTTGCAAAGTGCGGAGAATTTCTTGATTTCAGTACAGTTACGAACGCTCGGTTTTTTCTCTCTCTCTATTTTAAACAATGCAAACGGAACAAAGTGACGACGTGGGCAACAAATGGGTCAAACATTGGTGATCAGAGGTCGCTTTAACTGCGGGGATCTCGATCTTGTAAATATCACAGTCTACTCTAATTATAATATCTAATTATAGTATCGTCTATTCTAATTGTAGTACTATTGTGACAGTGGAAACTTGATCGAGGGATTTGCTGAGAGATCGAGAACGACAATCACTGAATAAAAAGACATGGCACTGACGTTAGCGCTACCTTTATCCGGTCTAAACCCAGAACAATTTTCAACGCTGCGCCTGAAGCTTCTTAATATTGAACGCGAACAGAACTTGAGGAACATGTGCGATTCTGGGCGGACTTCTCCAAGTGCCGGAAGCGAGTCGAGCGGCATCAGCAGTCTCGCAACGTCCGCCGAATCGACGTCAGTCGAATTAACACCGATCTCATCGAGATCAGAGAGTCCCACTAGAACACCGTGCAAGAGCCAGGGGAAGGTAAACATTGCGAGCGTTCGTGTTGCCACGAATAACTCAGAACTCGACATAAAAAGAAATTGTAGGAATGTCAGATCGGAAAAGAGAAAGAGAGAAGTAGAGCGAAAAAAACTAGTTTCTTCAAAACTATTTGCGCGGTAAAAAAATAACATATTTATAAGCAATATCGGCATACGGAGGTCTTTCCAAATGACTAGATAATATAATAATTTTGCGGATGCATCTACGCGAGATAAAAATGGGAAAAAAACTATTTCTTTTCAGACAACTGCACCATTTCGTATAATGTATGGAAACCGCAATATACTGAACTTGGCAGCGAACGTCAGGCCGCCGTTAGACTGGCAGATGAAAGACTTTGATCGAATGAGTCGCTACCAGCGTGAACGGTCTGCTACCAAGGATGGAACTGTACGTACGATGACGTCTTACGGTAAAAAAAATCACGATAATGTAGCCGCCCGCGCCGGAATAAAAGTATTCGATATAAGTAATTTTTAAACAATATCAAATGCAATGTATAATTAATCAATTTTAATACTGAAATGTAATCACACCTCTGATGACGGAAATCACATCTTACAGAAAGTTTGCCGCCAATGTGGATTTTGCGAGCCGTTAGCCACTAAAAACTTTTGATGCCGACTTAACGAAACGAAACGATTAACGACAACACGTCCAGCGTCGTGGACAACTGAACTGATAGACTGGATAGCGGCAGCCGGATGGAGACGTATCGTTAATCGAGGAACATATGGAGATATGAAACTAATATATCTAAATTGGGACCCGACATCTGCAGTGCGATACGTGAATATTGAAACAATTAAAATATTCGCGTAAATCGATAATTTAATTGGTTGAATTCGTCTAGAGAAAAATATCTAGAATCTAGATTATTTAAGCGGTATACGTTCCCTTGCCGGATACGGGCTGCAGTGATCATTAGCTCTCCCGAGTTGTAATGTCGTGAGACGTGGTGAAATTATGGTCAGCCAATAAGTTTTGCATCGCGGAATGCGAACAATTGACGGTCATTCAACGTCTCCGGTGTCTATATCTATCTTACTGTTAGACACCGGATACATTTTTACAATCCACTGTGTATGGTTTTACAATCTTATGTGATACGGTGCAGGACTAATTCTCCGCTAAAGTAAATACACCATATCTCGCGCGACACCTTTTCTACTTTCAACTATATGTATAGCGCATATGTATCTGTATTGTAATTGTATTCGGACGAATAACGATGTCGCGCGTAAGAGTATCGGTACCTTACAAGATTTGTCCGAGCATCGTGTGACTGTCGTCGGACGCGTCGAACAATATCGGATTTTTAACGCACGATATGACGATCTGCAAACAGACTCAACGTTTAACTAGAAAAAAGACCGCAGGTTTACAACTCGCAGTCGTGTATATGTGTGTGTGTGTATGTTGGTATGTGTATGAAAAGTCGCGCGTCACCCAATGACTTTTCTTCATGCACAAACATATTCATTTGAAGACAGACCTCCTTATCCCCTATCGTCAAGATTGTCATCATCATCGACAATTATCGTAACATTTTTTTCTTTACGGTAACTATAAACGAATGCCGTTGCATTTCGTAGAACACCGTTATCGAGTGACATACCGATAGACGTATCGTGTTTCACAGGTAGTATCACGAACGATCGGCAATTTCTCAAATCGGCCGAAAATCAGTCCTTACATTTTCGCGGTAAATGTAGTACCTGCTCGTAGGATATAAATACGTATTTCTACGACGGCATTGCATATATATCTTGACCATTGTTTATGACTACATGATAAACAATATTTTATATATCTCAATGTTGCGTTCCTCAATCGTGCTTTTACGTTATTAGATAAAATAATTGGAAGATGTTCGCGGAAAAATATGGGAATAACTTGAGTGTGCAGCGTTCTCCCTCGGCGTAGCGTCGCGTACGATCGGCTTTTATAAAAAGAGGTGGGGCAACTCTTTTCCCTAAGTTGAGCATTCCGTCGCGGTACGACATCGGCGCGGGCTTCCTGGCGGCGATACTCGAGCCAGGCCGAAGATGCGAACGCTTCGGCGAATTAGCGCGTAAATTCGCGCGAAAGGCATTAGTGCCGTTTCACGAGCCGCACGAGGGGGTTGATCGCTCGGACCCTCGTGCTTCTGCATTGTTTCAGCTCGAGCGTAACACCCGGCGTGGCGCTGTGTGGCCGGTTCGATCCACAATCCCGCCCGAAACACTCACACCCCTAACGAAAGGGACCGCGCAACACGCGCGCATTACTCCGATCCTCGCCGACGCACACGCATATACACGTAGCCAGAAAAAATGAACCAATTGCTGAGGAGAGAGAGAGAGAGAGAAAATTTACCGTAAGAAATTTATACAGAAACAGCAGTCTCTTACATGCAACGACATTTTTCCCCAGTTTTGCTGCGATGCACGAGATTATTTTAGGCACGAGCCCATTGTTCATTATAATAATTACAAATTAAATGCTAATATTATGCCAAATTGCTTCTCATTTAATAAGCGACATTAAGAACGATATTTCCTGTCCGCCGATTTTTCGCCCTTGGGCCTCGATATTTACTAAATCCGTCACTGGTATGCGCGTTTATATCGCTTGTATGTATTCCGCGGGGTGTGCGGGAACCTTTCATCAGGCTGCACGCGTGCGTGTACATACGTACACCGGTGCACGCGCGCGCCTGGAAGCGCCCCGTCCGTGCGTGCACGCGCGGATGCGTGGGTGCGTGCAACGCGCGAGAGATGCGCAGGACGACTATTCAGATATTGTTGTTATTGTTGAGGGAACAATCGCCCGTCAATAGGCCGCCTCGGCACAATGTATCTATTCAGGTGCGGTCAGCGGTGCTCAATCGATCAGGATCCACCCTTCGCGAGTGACGAAAAAGCACCGCGGAGACCGGCGGAGAGACCTGTCGTCAGTTTCGCGGTGTACATCGCGGAATTCTTCACGTGCAAAAGTCCCAACTCTTAACTTAACTCGTGCGCCTGCCTATGCATGGAGACAATAGGCCTTCTTATTTTCTTCGTGCCTTAGCAGAACCAAACGAAAGCGATCCCGAGTGGCCTGTGCGTTTCCACTTGTAGGGCATGTGCAAAATATTTTATATCTTTACGTACTTATAAGGAGCAAAATAAAATTGTCAAATTGATTGCAACTTACTGCGGTTAGTTCATTCATTCAGCGAGAGCTGGGTGTCAACACGTGTTTCGTGTACAATACAAATATTATAGTTTTATAATAATCATGGCAACTAACGTTTTACTTTTTAATGATTTAATAGGTACTCCGTAAGAGAAGAGGATGGGTGGGCCCAGGTCGAATGGAGAGTATCTGTACATACATAATTTACGATCTCGTCCGCCACGAGATCACTGTAAGGACTTGGAATACTCCTGATCACGATGAATTGGTATCGAACCGTGAAATGAATCCCCGACCCATGATGAATTGTGTCAGCATTTGAGATCAAATCGTGGAACGTCTCAACGTGATTCCGATATCTGTTAACATTGACCCTGATTACCTCGGTTTCTTACACACTTCCTTTTACAAATCGACATGTGTTATCGTAACTTTAGATAGTAACTTTTATCTTCATAAGAGTGCAATACACACAGTCCCTAAAGATTAAATTCTCTAAAAATAGACTTTAAGCTGTACACGATTGCTGATTATATTTTCGACCCCCATTAATACCGACGCAATCATCACCGCTTAAACGTATCACGCGATCGGAAAGGTGAGTCACCTATGGCTCACAACTGTTATTCAATGAGCCAGAGTTTGTGCCGACAAACGGACCGCCGTGTCACGGTGATGTTCTATGCGGCCCGCACGTCCCAAGACGCCCGCGAAAGAGGTCCAGCCGGAGAAAAAGAGGCCGCGGGTGAGAGCCACTGCCGCGAGCGAGGGTACCAGAGTTCCGCGGCTATAGCGATGATTACGTATGCGGGAATCATTGTCGAGTAACGCGCGATGCACATGCAAAGGCCAAAAATCGTCGAAATCAGTCGAGTTCAACATCAGCATTGTACCTGGGCTTTGTCTCTGCCTCATTGTTGTTGGTCGGTACTCCCCCCCCCCTCTCTCTCTCTCTCTCTCTCTCTCTCTCTCTCTCTCTCTC